GTGGCAATTCTATGACTCAATTATTGCTCTCTCGAGTCGCATTGCAGTGCTCTGTCCTGGAACCATTCCTAAAGATATGTCCCCCTTTCAGCTAGTCACTCTCTGGACTCTTATATTTGTATCTCAGTGAATTCACCTGCATAGACTGTACTGAACAACTTATTAGTGCCTGATCAAATCTAATATTCTGAATGTGTTTTTTTCTATCTCTAGTGATACATTTTTACTACTTATTTTGGAAATGCACTAAGCAATAGTTCAAACTCATGAATAAAAATAAAATAATTTATCCATCAGTGTCTTTTCTGTTGGACATATGATATGATAATGAGATGCAGGAAATAAACTCTATGAGTACAATGTTTTTGTTTGTTTGTTTCTGTTCTTCACAGCTGTATTCCAGACACAAACAACAGCATGGAACATCAGAAAGTCTCAATAAATATTGTTGAATTAGTGACTTTGATAAGAACTAGCAATGGTTCTCAACAAATTTCACTATGTCCTAATTCTTATTTAAGCCTTCCCAGTTGGCTCCTGAAGTGGCTGTTTTCCAACTTCAGGACTAGAAATCAAACATGAGGTGCAGTAATACATGATAAAAAGAGGGTATGAGGAGAGCAGAAATGAGAATAAGAGAGGAGTCACCATAAGAGGTTGAGACAAAGTGTTAAAAAGCCATCATAACCAAAGTCACCTACAGAGAATGGATGACAAGCAAAATTCAATGTGATGAAGAGGTGGGATTTCTTTAGCCAACTGCTCTTCCCCCTGTCAGCTTAGAATCTCAGGATGAGTGTTCCCTTTATGGAATATAGAGCATTCTCCCAAGAACTTTTCGTAGAGCCCTCTTGATGTCCCTGTTCCGCGGAGCTCCAAATTGCTGCCACTATCTTAAAAATCCATCTGAAGCTTCAAATAGGATAGAATCAACATCCTGTTTTCCCCTTGGGCAAGGAGAGGCACTGGAAAGGACACAATGTCACTACTGTTGGGATTTTTGCCCAAACCCCACACGGGACAATCTAAAGACTGGCACATCCAGATAAACCCAAACTAAGAAATATCCAAAAATGTCAATGTCACCAAATTCAGAAAGTCTAGGATGAGCTGTTCTGGATTAAAGATGGCCTAACATCAACCAACCAAGTAATGTGTGATATTGGGTTTTCTTTGCTCTAAATGACATTATTAGCACAACTGTCAAAATAGAAATGAGAGTCTATAAATGTAATAATCTTATTATATCAACATTAATTTCCTGATTTTGATCATTGCATTGTGGTTATGTAGGAAAATGTTATTGCTTTTAGGGAACACTGAAGTAGATACAACTTGCTCTCCAATGGTTTTGCAAACACACCACATGTGTGCACACAAACTGGATAAAAAAAAAAGTGAAGGTGGTAAAAATGTTAACATTTAGGGGGTCCAGTAAAAGATATACATAGGAACTACTATTTAAACATTTTCTTTAAACCTGAAATGATGTCAAAGTAAAGTTAAAAACACTTTCACATAATGTTCAATAGGACAAGGTAGAGAAAAATAAAAAGGAAAATTCATCCATGAAATGTCAGAAAGAAGCCAACTTTGAAAATCATTGGAGCTGAGGTGACCACGGACAGGTATGGAGCCCACATTCACACTCACCTGGAAACCTCAGCCAGAAAATTAGTCTAAGTGGTCCTGGACAGAAATGCCTGTAAGCCCCATGGAAACCAAAACACAAACATCATCTGGAAGGTGCTTTCACTCTGGGGTTTTTGCCTCAGTGTCCATAAAGACAAGACTGTGATTTTTCTTTCTTTTACACCCCGCTTTCCAGCTTTGCCAGCTCATGTGTTCTTCCAACCTCCCTATTCTTATTAAGCACAGCACCAGCCTTTCTCTCCACTAAGTTCCAACACACATTGTCCTTCTCAGGAATCTACAGTGCTGTGAGTTTCCCCCAGCCACACTGGTATTGTCCTCCAGCTGGGGTGCTCACTCCAAGCCTTTGTCTTCCTGTGATCAGTCTTGTCCTTATCTCTTATACAGAACATCAATTCCTCAAACAAGCCTTCCCTGAACCCTGCCCATACAAAGTACAGTTTCCCCCTATTCCAGCTTTTATACTCCCCTGTATTTTCTTCTTCATTGCACTAAGTCATATTATGTTTTCATTTACTTATGAAATTTCTTGCTTAATATCTGTCCCTCTCATGACTGAATCATAAACTACACCAAGAGTTCAGGTAACATATTACAAAATTTATTTTCCTGGTGTTCCCAGTATTTATTCTCGATATGGATTGAATGAAGGTTGGAACAAAATTTGGAATAATCTTATTTTTATTTTTTTTGTACACACACACACACACACACACAACATATACCTACTTGTGATATATAAATATCAGAAACAAGAAATCTACAAGTTATTCTCACATTATTGATGCAGCAACCTACAAAAGCAGTAAGATAATGTTATCTTTTGATACATGAATAATCAATGTGGAAATAATGACAGTTGCAACCTAAATGTATATGTAATAAAATTTAACAGTCACTGATGGGAAGGGAACAGAACATTTCCGTCATGTGGAATAGAAGGATATTGCCTTTGGGTGTTAGCATAGCACTATACTACCATGTTAATCCAAGATTACATCAGTACACCCTAAGAACACAAAACAAACTCAAAAAAAGCAGAAAGGAGAAATCATGCTTGCTGTTAATAATCATTTAACATAGTTTCTTTTTTTTTTTTTTTTTTTTGGTGTGCCGTTCGCGCCCCCCTGCGCTTCCTCTTTTCTTTTATAATCCTTTTAATAGATCTGAGAAGCCACTGTCACTGCTGATAGCTTACCTACCTCACTATGAAAGTCACCAGGGTTATCAGCTTTTCTCTTTGTCCCTGAACAGATCATTAGGGAAGATAGAGAGAAAATGGGGCTGTTCACAATTGCAATAACAATACACATGGCACCTGGCACAGGTGGGCACTCATGCACTATTTGTTGAATCAAACAGTGTGTGTAACCTTTTGAAACCAAACCATGAGCAGGGTTCCCCAGTGAACCTGCATCATGGGCACCTGGAGGCTGGTTAAAACAGGCTGTTGGGACTCATCCTTGGTTTGTCAGCAGGTCTTGGGTGGGGCCTGAGACTCTGCATTTCTGGCAAGCTCTCAGCAGAGATGAGTTCAGGGGAACAGATACTGCTGTGCAGGAACCACACTGAGAACTACTGTACTAGAGAAGGACAAGGCTCTTAGCAGGTGGGTTGGAAACTTTTTTATACTTGAGAAAGTACCAATTACTACTACAAGTCACTGGGCCCAAAATAAGTTTCCATCTGAACTGGAGGCAACAGAAAAACAACTGCACAGGAATCTAAAAAGATGTAAATAGCCAGGAAAATAATTCCAGGACTCAAATAAAATTGTCTTGGGTTCACTATCAACTATGTTACCCTCCCTCCCCCTCGTGACTTTTTAAATACTTCTTTTCATACACAATACTCGAGCCAGATGGATGACTCACTCCCGCATTGTTAAACAAGTATTTGGAAAAACTCTTTTCTGCTCTGACTGTTGGATGCTGAAGACAGACTCACCCAGGGAATGATAGGGAGACAGAACTTGTCACAAGTCATGTCTGTGAGAGGTGCAGGTGTAGTCTTCTCCCAGCCAGATGTCATTGAACTATGGTGGGGATGCGAGGGAAGTATTTGTGGTTTCCCAAGCCTCAGGAGAATGATTTCTCATCATTACTCATTAAATAAATTGTTTCTTTGATGTTCTCCTCTTGAAGTCACTAAGCTCCTTTGGGCTACTCCATGCTTCCTTGCAGACACTTCTGAAATACCCCTTCCCCCAAGTTCTAAACATGTTCCACAAATGTGTAACTTTATTTCTGATGCACTCCCACAGAGTTCCAAAATGATTAAAACATGTGAGAAAACAAACTTTATTTTATTGTATTCATTATTACATGAATAAATGTAATATATTTGGTTCCTAGAGGGCATATCTCTCAAAAGTGCAATTATGGAAAACAAGTCAAGAAAATGGGAAAGGAAGGATGATGAGTGGAAGAAACAATCACAAGGACTGACTCATTCAATTTTCCCACACGATTTCTATGTCATCTGAAGAAAACACCTTTAAAACCTGGATTCCTCCTTTGAAATTGAAATCACGTTGTTTGTTGTGAAAGGCAGAATAGCAAAGTCACCTGCCAGGCTGTGGTCCACCTGAATTTCAGTCTTTTCTTTTGAAAATGAAGTAAATGAGAGACAATACCTCAAGAAATTTTGTCATGAAATTAAGTCATTCATGTGAAGAGACACATAGAGTCTTGATTCGTCAACATTTTGTTCTCATTACTACATGCTTTTCACTCTATTTCTTCTGGAAAAAAACAAGCATACAAGGAAATTAAGGTGAAGATCAATCAGGTATGAAGACAACTTTCTGGGAACCTAACCACTTGAAATGACAAGTGCTTTAAATTTAAAGTTAGAAATCTTAAGAATAGCTGTAAGATGCTGGCCAAATGAGGAGTGTTGTGGACAGCATGCAAGGATGAAAAATTAAAAAAAAATTTTTAATTTAGTTATTTTTCAAGTACAGTTTTTTGTCTATTTCTCCCATCCCAGCCCCCCTGCCCCGTCTCCCCACCTCCCTCCCATTTCCTCCCCCTGCCCCCAGTCCTCATCCCTGTGTCTTTCATACTTGTTCCTCAAAATCCCTCCCCATTTTTCCCCTTAAATTCCCTTCCCTCTCCCCTCTGGTCGCTGCCCACTTGCTGAAGTAAAAAAAAATTTCTTAGGGAGTTGCTGAGAAGAGCCAAACAAGTACTAATACAAAAACAAAGAAAAGGGAAATCATCTGTGCTTTGGATAGAAGAAATCAATAATGTCTTATAGGAGAGAAAAAGAACCTGGATATTTAAATTTGCAACATTAACCTCCGAGGTCCACAATGTACACTTAGTTCTGGGGCCAGTGATCCATCATGGACAAGGTGCTGCTGGGTGGAGGAGCCTTCCAAGGGCCCCCTTCACATCCTTGTTCCTCAGGCTGTAGATGAAGGGGTTCAGCATTGGGGTGACCACAGTGTACATCACTGAGGCAATGATGCCCCACCAGGGAGGTGCATCAGAACTGAGATATACACCAAGGCCTGTCCCATAGAACAAAGAAACTGTGGACAGGTGAGACCCACAGGTAGAAAAGGCTTTATATTTCCCATCTGCTGATGGGATTCTCAGTATTGAGGAGACAATTCGAATATAGGAGAAAGAATTCCAGTGAAGGGACACAATGCCAAGAAGGCCAGTTACCATATGGAACACAATGTGATTGATGAGTGTGTCTGAGCAGGCTAGTGTGAGGGCCTGAGCAAGTTCACAGTAAAAGTGTGGAATTTCCCAGTTGGCACAGAAAGACAGCCGCAATGTCAACAGGATCTGGGCCAGGGAGTACCCAGGACACTGATGAACCAGGACAGGAGTACCAGCAGGACACAGAGGTGGGAGTTCATGGTGAGTGTGTAATGTAAGGGGTGACAGATGGCCACAAACCTGTCATAGGCCATCATTGTGAGGAGAAAAGTGTCCATACCTCCAAACACCATAAAAAAACACACATTGGGTGATGCAGCCTGCATAGGATATGGCTTTGCTCTGTGTCTGGATATTCACCAGCATCTTTGGGATGGTGGTGGAGGCGAAACAGATGTCAGCCAAGGACAGGTTGGAGAGGAAGAAGTACATGGGTGTGTGGAGGTGGGAGTCAGAGGTGATGGCCAGGATGATGAGCAGGTTTCCCAACACAGTGATCAGGTACATGGACAGGAACAGACAGAATAAGATGAGTTGATGCTCCGAGTCTTGGGAAAATCCCTGAAGTATAAAATATAACACTTTTGTTTGATTTCCTGTTTCCATGTTGCTGACACATCATCTAGATGAGAAAAGAAAACAAATCTAAATAAATACTGGAGATACTCTAGATTAAATTTCTTGAAGTAAATGACTAGATATATAACCCTTAATTACAAAATTTAGGAACTGTATATTCTGTTACTTGGTACAACATTTAATAATGTTGATCAACCATTGTCTGTTATCCTTTGGGATACTCACCCATCTCCTTTATCCCTGTCTTAGAATTATCTCTGAACAGTTAAGAGCAACCTTGGAGTTTAGAGATAAAAGGGTTTGTACTTGCTCTAACGAAAATGTGGAGCATGAAGTCTGCTGAAGCTCAGCAACTTGATCTGGGTTGTCTGCCTTCTCTGGTACTCACAAAAGGGTCAGATAACCAGGTATCAGAGGTGAGAAAATTCGAGAAATTATCTCAAATATCTGAATTAGAGGATGAGTAGAATGTAAATTTACTCCTTCAAGAAAAAAAGAAAGATAAAGGAACATTTTCACCAAATAATGAACCATATTCACCATCATTTAAGGCTTAATGTACCAGGGACAATGTACCAGCAGTGACTTGTAGGAACAGGGCCAGATGCTTTCTGGAGATATGTCACTTGACAAAAGAGTCTTCATTTGTGAAGTTAAGGGATTGGGGAAAATATGGGAAGAAAGAGGAAATGCCAAGGCTTAAGCCATTTCGGTACCCTATGATACTACTACAAATGTCACAAACAGAATTTTGAGTCATGCCATTTATGATGTTCATTAAATATTGGGGGAAGTGAGAAGTTGCATCAAGATTTACATATGAGCTTGAAGGGATGAGAATCGGATTCACACTCACATTTCAGTGATGCTTAGATTGGGGCTGAGCATATATGGGGACTCATCCTCGGACCACTTACCTCTGACTCTCTTCACCTCAGGGCCTATGGGTCCTATAAGCAGACACAGAGGAGTGAGTCTTATACCCTGGGACAAGGTATAGCATAAAACCATAATGTGACCTTCACTGTTGTTACCAATATTTTTCTATACTTATTATCCCATAATGCCCTTAACTACACAGGAGAACATCGTTGGTTGTCATCACTGCCAGTCTTTTAGGTATAGAAATCAAACTGAGAAGAGGTAAACTCCCTAGTTCAGTGGATGGGCTGTCTGTGAGTCAGGGTGGGTGTTCCGGATGAGAGGAACAATGAACTTTGAAGATAAATAAATAGAATCAAAAGGTACAAAGTTCCAGTTTTTAAATAAATAAGTCATGGGGATGTAATATATGGTATAGTAACTATAGTTAACATTGTATTGCATGTTTAAAAGTAACAGAGTATTTCTTAAAACTTCTCATTGCAAGAAAAAAATTCTGTAAGAATGTATGATAAAATACATTAATTAGACTTAGTGAGATGATCATTTAGCAATATATTCAAAAATAAATTCATTATGTTGTACACATCAAACTAATATAATAATGTCATATATCAATTATATCTCAATTAAACAAACTCCAAAGCTCACAGCTGGAATGTTTCTGGAATGATAAAATGTCCATATCATACCCAATCTGCTTAGCAATGGATGAATATCTTTCTTTTGACCTATTAGGAAACAGGCAGTTTGAAATTTTTTTTTGTGGTTTCTAATCCTTTCAGAGATATTGTAAGCAAATTATTAGGACTTATTCTAAATTCTAAACTATCTTGACTTTCAGTAAGTGTGACTTGCTGTGTTGCATTGAATTTCTTTAATAGAGCAGAATAAGAGAGAGAATGTGGAAGCTGCCTGAGATTCTAGATATTCCCTGGAATGTGCTGTGTGTGTTAATTGCATCAACTGCATTGGAAAAGAGAGAACAATTTCATTTCTTCCCAGTCTATTGCAGGGCTTCCTTCCTGGTCCCCAGTTTCATCTTTGATTTCTCCACCCAGCCATCTGACTGAGATTTCAGAAATGAAAATTGGATGGTATCACTCACCTGCCTACAGTTTTTTAAATACATTGGTGCCACCTCCTGAAATCATCCAAAATCCTTGGTGCATCATGACTCCATATGACATCCCCCCAAGCCTTATTTCTCACCACCTCTCAATTTTATCCACAATTCTGATCATTTTGAAAAGCCTTTCTTTGCCCAGATGGGCCATACTCTCTTATGTCTCTGCTGCTCTCAGGACCTTCTCTCTCTGCTTAAACCTCTCCTTACTTCCTTCTCTTCATTCCTACCTGTCACTGTATATATGGCACAGACTCTCACCTGCTTAGGTAATTCCCAACCACGTCAGTTCTCAATACTAGCTGAGTTCTTAGCATAATAGGGGACTCTTTATATTGGTTGAGTGGCAGAATTAATCAATGGAAGAGCTTACAAACAAATATTTCCCTTTCCTGCACCTCATCATATAGTCCCTGGGTGTCCAACTATAAAACTTTTAACACTTCTTACCTGCATGGAGGTGACTATATGGAGTGAGGATAAATAAGATGTTGATGAAGAATAGAGAGAAATGGAGACAGAAAAGGAATATCAAGTTGCTGCTCATTAAATAGCCACTTCCTCTTCTCAGTCCTGGGCAACACACATTCCCAGTGTTGATCCCTGTCAGGTCCAAACAATTCAGCCTATTTTCTCTTGTTCTTGCAGTTCACCTGGGATCTTTACCCACACTAGCATCAGCAACTGCTTCTCCACAGCTTTTGTCTGAAATACCTGCATACACACACCTGACTTTCTATCCTAATTATCCAGAGGCACAAACAGAAGATTAGATGACTGAGAGACTAAACAGGGGAATGACACATGAATGAACAATTTCATAGAGGATACTTGTCCCATGGTTACTTCTCTGTGATCATAAATGAGGACATTCATTACCTTTTAATTCCCTTCCTGGAAGCCCCTCAACATTCATATTTGCAGTCCTTTTTCTTGCATGTGAAACTGCTAAACACTCTCATCCCTGTATGAGCAGACGTGGCCTCTTTGTGCTCTCTCCCCAAGCACATGATGATCCAATTTCCAGGAGCAATAGATAATGGGAGAGTGAAAGAAGACACTCATTTTTTCCTCTCTGGTTCCAGGAACCCCAGGATCTGGCAAGGGGAGAGCCAGAGGTTGGCAGGCCATGGACCAATGCCCCTTCCCCCCACCTTCCCAGTGCTACTTTAAGCATCACCTCTTGTTTGATGCTCACCTTTTTGGGCTGATATGCAACATCCTGGTGCAATTTCTCTCTTCCTACAAGTACAACAGGTCCTCAAGTAACATTGTTTCACTCAATATGGTTAACATTGCTTTATTCACATTGTCAACATTTTTTAATTCAATATTGTTTTGTTCTAAGTTGGTGAGATGCTGTGGATACAAACGTAACCCTGCTTGTGTCCATTAGATTAACCTATGGTAAAAATTGTTTGTTATATGTTTTGTCACAGTCAGGAACCTATTGAGGACATTAAGGGAGGACATAGTGTTTTCCATGAGCACCATGGAGGCCAGTATTAAAATTCTTTTCATGACTTTTGCTGTTTGGAGGAATGGTTAAAAAAGGGATTGGCCTCTGAAGCTGGACCATCTTCTCAGGTGCATATTGCTACCTCTGAGGAAGAAAGGTAGAGGCCATGCAAACCTTCTGGCTTTAAGTAGTTAGTGTGTTTGATAAAGGCACAAGATGGTTTTATTTCTAGGATTGTCCAATATTGCTTCCTTGTGCCAAGTAAAAGCTGAGACCAGTGAAACATATTCAATGAAAAATACTGGAAATGAGGGAGAGAGACTAATGAGAATTCACCTTGCTCTGATGGACAAAGCCAGGGGTCTGAGGGCTACAGGGTTTGTCCTGAGGTTTGTTGGAATTCAAATCCACCACAGTGATTTTTTTCTACAATGTCCAGACTGGAGATGCAAGAGCAGCTGAACTATGATTTAAAGGGTCATGGAATGAATAATAATGGTCATCTTAAGAAAAAGTTTCCCCCACATTAGAAATGCTTTACATTAGGACCAGAGGTTAGGAATCAAAAGGGGAGGATTCAGCCCTGTGTCAGCTATACTTTCTTCATTACTCATGCACCAAATAAGTATGTCCTATTGTCTTTCTGGTGTTTCATGGTAGTGCAAAGTTTGTTAAGCCATACTGGAAAGTAGAGAATTAAACTAGACTGCTTGTCAGTCACTGAAGAACTCCTGGAAGCCACTTGGCAAGAAGGGCTCCTTTGGGACAGGTGAAGTGTCAGCCATTGGGTCTGGTCATCAACCTCAGGGAGCCCACCTTCCAGAGATGGATGCACAAACAGGTCATTGTAATACAATGACTTAAATGGTAAGATGAAGACTGGGGTACTGAGAAGAGTCCCAAATGCAGCCTGGAGTGATGGAGTCAGGGAAGAGATCCTGGAGGAAGAGATCTCTGGGCAGAAGTTACATGGGTAGACTATTGAATAGGGGCTCTCCTGGCAGAGAAGCAAGCAGGTGAAAGACCATGAGCAAGACACAGCCTGGGTCAGAGTGCTTTTAGCCACTAGCTGAAGCACACCGTGGGGTCCTGGGCCAGTGGAGAATGAGGACCAAGAGGTGACCACATTCCTGGCAACTTGAAAAGAATAATAGATAAAGTTTGAGACTGTGGAGGAAGTGCAACCAAAGGAGGGTCATGCTTTGTATCACAATTTTCCCTAGTGTCTGGAGTGAAAGATGGATTTAAAGCAGACAAAACTGGGGGCAAAGGAAATAGGTTGGTGAATTCTTATATCATTAAAGATGGAGAACCAAGTCACTTGCTTTAAAGAAAAGGAATGAAGGCCCAAACTGGTGGAAAATCATTCTGATCTTGCTAATTATTTTATATTCCTTGTGAAGGGTGAGACCTGACATCCAAGTGTAGTCAGTGGGAACTATGAGAAAGGGACATACCCGTTCTAGTGTTTCCCAGAATTCCCAGAGACAAGGGTTAGTTGTCAATAAGGAATTCGATGTTGGACTTTCATACATCCTTTTATTGCCATCTCTCTTTAAG